AGCGGCCTTTGATCTTCGCCACAGCAAAACAAGAACTCAAAATAAGACCAAATTAACAAAACGTCGTGACAGGTACAGTTGCAACGAAACAAACGAAACAAATGCACCACATTTCATAACAAAACAAATAAACATATCTGCTGCGATCCGACGTTCATAACGCTGTATGAAATTTTTACTTAATGCACCATGAAGAAGGATTCAGCTCGATCCGAAACGTAGCAATTTATTTCAATACTATTTATATGTCGTTAAACCGTTTCCATTGTTAACGGCAAGCATTTATTACCTAATTACATATACAAAACAGTTAACAAACTTATGCATGTTAAAGCCGCTTCAGTCGATACTTCAACTTAATTGCCATATCTTGCAGTAACATTATCTTTTGATCTGTTTAGGCACCAACGTCCAACGTGTGACGCAGGAAATACTGCCAGGGCAAAAATTGTCCATCCTCGTATTACTGACTACACACTCTGTAGCGTCATCAATCCGCCTATAGTAGTTTTATCTTCTCCAGCCCGTTCCCGCTGAACATTTATATTTCAGCAGTCAATTCAGCAGTTACAACGCCCTCGTTGTACGTTGAAACAATGCCTTAATGTAAAACGTTACAGTTCAAGTTTATGTTCAAGTGCCGTACACAACTGGCATACACCTGTCTGAACCGGTCAACGGTACTGCTGATCAAGCGAAGCTTAATAACGCGCAAACGGCGTCAAATATACTTGCTAACGATGCATGCCTTCTACGTATCAGACTGTTATGAGCTCATCTAACACATTATGTCGCCGCTTTTTCCTATACGCAGACTTTCCTACACCCCGACGTCAGTTCGTCTTCAGAAATTCTGAAGGCAAAAAGAAATAAAATTTGTCCGATTCACATTTTTCTAAGCATCTTCCATATTTCTTCGGTCCTGTTTGATGCCGAGCTGCTACTTCTTCATCCATACTTTCACTTACATGAACTTCACTTACTGCACACAGAACAGCGGTGGTCTCAGTTACGAAACAAAGTTCGTCACCAAAAAAATGGCGGGACATGTAAACCAACTTTGACCGTACCATCAGCATTTTGAGATGCACGCTTATCACGGATTCTATTACGGGTTTAAGTCTAAACCTCATTCATTCCACATGCAGAAATAAACTCTATCAACCTCAGCGGATCACGTGATTACACACCCTATTCCTCGAAAGTTATTCTACGAACTGCGATGAAGAACGGATTCAACATCGACGGACTTTCAGCAAGCGCAGGAACTTAACATGGGTAGCAGTCGATGGACTTCAAGAAATTTCTTCTGCTACTACTGACTGAAATGTCCCTAACAGCAAGCATGGACAGATACACCGAAACAGTAACCAAATGCATTAACTGAATTTCCGATAGCTGCTGCCGACTTCAGAAAATTTCCTTCTACGCAGAGATTGTTCTTTCGCATTGCTAAAGTTATTGCAGCGCAAAAAGAAGTGGGCTCCTAGATCGACTAACCTAGAAACATACCTCTAACTAAACTAGACTGACCTGAAATTCAATGAATGAGTCACCTGCATACTGCTGCATTGATGAACCTACAAAATACTAAAAAGTAGACTGCGGTTGCTAAATGATTTGCGGGCTTGACGCAGGATAAAGACATCAATAGCTCGCACATTCACCACTTGGATGAACGTAACTCCTTTTCCCTTCGCTACGAAAATATTAACACAACGGCAAAACCTCGGAGCCTTCCTCCTTCATGCACCATCATGCTTCCGTTGAGTACAAAAGAGACTGATCAAAGTTTTTGCAGTGACGTTCCTCCTTATCAATTATACCAGACCTTGTTTACCAGTTAGCAACTGACGAACTCGCAAGTGTCTTGACATAAATTTATACCCATTGTTGCTATTCTGGCGAAGCTGCTAGATCATGGTGAACGTTACCAGTAACACGTATAATAAGAACGCATATCTTCGCAAAGATGAACGATCTGACACTCATATTAGTAAGCAGCGAGAGAGAAAATTCTGAATAACACCTAGTAGAAAACTGCAGTAAAACTGGAATCTGTTCATGATCGTCTTCAGTTCAGTTTGAAGAAAGGCTGTGGCATGACTGACACCTTGACCTGCCCAGTTCACGGTGTTGTACGGGTACTTGGACATGGCCAACAGACTGCTCGTACGCTTTTTCTCGACTACTCATCAGCTCACAGCACCATCTTCTACCACAAAAATAATTCGTTACATATCGGAATCAGACACTGACCCAAAACGTTACGGAATGCTTTGCATCGCTCTTGTGGAATCTTTTCCAATTCGTAGCAGCAGGATAGTAGCCTCCGCTGAATTTCGAAATAACCGCAGGATACTTGACAATTCATGTCTGTCGCCTGGCCGTTTTTTTCCATTGCACATCGGCGACTACTAAAAGATGTCACTGTCTCTGTCCGATGAATGCTGATGATGGCGCCGTAATGGCACCGATCAGTGACTCGCTCGACCTCAGGCAGTCCTTCAACGACGTAACCAACTTTGTTGCTGGTTTGGTCAAAAGGATATGAAGCTGAACAATGCAAAACGTTTCGAAATGCCTTTTATGAAAGGTGATAGCAGATCGCTACAACTGATCAACTTAGTATCTTGAACGCTGCCTCACTGCCAGCTTGAAGGTCATGACAACACGAGTTGTCAATTATCTTGGCTTACGAATCAACGAGCAGCTGACCTGGCACGACCAGGTTGCAGTCACAATCAAAGCGCAATCCTTTTGTCAGTACCTCTCACGATTGCGCCTCCTCGTCGTTATCCATTTTCCTGCAGCTGCATTATTCCAACACTGGCATTCCTCGTCCCACGTACTTTGGCGCTTTAATTGCGGAGATTTCATCGCTCTAAACCATGCTTTGGTTTACCACGGGGTGATGAAAGTAGTCGAAACTGCCGACTGCTACTATTCATCGTCTCGCGTGCAAAATTTTCGGACATAACGGTTCGTTCGCTTAACAGTGATATTACGCAAAATCGTTTTCGCTTCGAGAAAATGACAGCAACGTTTTTTACCCCACAGAGCAGAACGGAAAAATGCAAACGCGCAGTAATCGGCCGACTTATCCGTACTTCGGAAGACCTGAATCAGTTCAGCTGTGTCAACAGCTGCGGCAGCGTCTGATTATATATTTTTACTGCCCAAAATGGTCGTTATTTTTCCTACACCTCTGATGTACCGGTTATAGAAGGCGAGGTTACTGATTCGGTATCGCTAATAAATCTGAATGTAATTTAGCGCTTTCACACTTATTCGGGTTGTCAATTGGCTATCAGGTCTGTCGGGAATTAGCGGGATCGTGTAATCAGGCTCCTGTGACATACGAAGAGAGATAAATCAAATCACGGATGTAGAGATGTCATCTATCAACACATCGTCAGTGAAGAAACAATCGATATACATACATGTAGACAGATACATAGATCCAGATAACATAAAATACAAGGTATATAAATATCCGATGTTTACACACTTAAAACTGGATCTACATGTGTGTTTACGTACATTTAGAATTTTACAAATCAGCTGTTTAAACATAATTGCTGAAGAATTATACTCTTGACTTAAAGTCAAATAATAACCAATAAACTTTTTTTTAAGACAAACAGTGATACGAAGTTCTTTTCAAGTCTAGCTCATTTATGCATCTATTCTCACTAATATACGGCCATGTGTATCTGAAACTGCGATCCTTGATAAAAGGGGAAAAAATGGGGCTTCGATCGACAGTGAACACGATGAAACCCAACAAAAGTTGGAGCAAGGTATTAGTAGTTAACATAGTCAGTTATTCGTTCCCAAAATCGAGAGGTCTAATCTGCAACCGGTGCGCACAAGATATATATATATGTACAGACAAAAGCAGAACAGGAATTATTATTGCATTTATCCATTCATTTTTTCCTCAGAGACTCGCATTTCCTTTCGGGTAGCGGGCAGCGCGCTCAGGATTTGACGCGATTATTGTCGATCTCGAGTCATGGAATCTACCTGAGGTGGTAAGTTAAGATGGCAGGCGTAGAGGTCCTTGACAAACCTGATCAAGTATTTCTAGATCTTCCTCCAGGTGTTTTGTCGGTCGGTCGAACAAGAAGCAACTGCTTTTGTCTACAATTTGGGGCATTTGGGAGTCATGGCCAAACCATCTCAACAGCGAGATTTCAATGCCAAGCAGTGCACTGAGGGAAAAAGCGATGTGCAAAAAATTACAGAATTAATGTTTCCTTTTTCGATGTAACGGCTAGATAGACCTCCGGTGCATTCTTTCCAGTATTATTTCAATATGAAATTAATTAGTCTACATAACCCAAAGTTTCAGATTAACCGTCTGACATCCCGCCTTTGCAGTTAGATGCCGTTAGAAGCAGTAAAGCCGCTCATATTGAGAGCACACCTAACCGCCGATAGTCCGCGCGCAGATGTACGGAGTGAATCGCTGCAACTCGTTCACAGCTCTGAAGCATAAGTCAAACGATCGATACGATTTTTCGGCAGTAAATGCAGAACAATGCAACTAACAGCAAATTGAAATTTTTGTGAAAATGAATTACTAGTAAACTAAATTCACGAATAATATTAAATAAAAAATTTTCTACTCGAAACAAGCGGACAACGCAAAGAGACTTTTGCTCATACACGATACGCAAGAAACACGACCTTGAAGTAGTCATGCGCTGCATTACACGTTGTACTCAGACAACTGAGGTTCCGGGACTAAACTCGTTCGCCCTCAGAAAAACAATAAGCGCTGCGTGAAGTTATTTTCAAACGATTCGTGTGAACCGTTATGACTGACGGTGGCCAGGTTGTAATTATTCTTCAGAAGCGCCTGACGTTACTGAATGCTCTAACTCTGAACACCGACCGGGCAACGTTCAACAATCGTCCGTTGTGCGACTATACGGAAACAGGTAATAAAAGGAGTTGCACCTTGCGCCGATTACTGACCATCACAGACGATAACCAGCTATCAGGTGAGCCAAGGAGAACTGCAATCATAAGGGGTGCTACAATCGCATGGGACTGCACAGCGTCGCACCTTTCTCTCATTTTGCT